ACTATACTATACTATACTATACTATACTATACTATACTATACTATACTATACTATACTATACTATACGTTCTAGTCAAGATCTTGGTGTTCTTGTCTCGCCAAGCTTATCAGAATACATACATGAATGCAGGAACTTAGTTTCAGTTTCTTTGCGGCGTGGAATTGAAACATGGGATAAACACTGACAACAGATTTGAATACAGTATGTTTAAAATGAAAAAGAAAAAGGAACACACTCACCAAAAGCGGAGCATACGCAGAAGCAAAACCACTCACTCGGGCCCAGGCTGTGGATGTACCCATAGCGACATTTCTAAGGGAAAAGAAGAATCATATGATGAAAAATACGTTTATCAAGCTTGAAAGAGTGAACATTTGAGACGAAAACATGGCATAGTGAATGCGATATGCACTATTATAAATCTCGACAGCTTCTTGCACTAGATCTTTGTCGAAGGCTTAGAGACATGCTGAATGGCCAAACAGCACCTTAGATTGTATCATTCAGTCCATAGGGAAATCAACGTTTTTTTTATACCCCATCAGGAAGTAATACAAACAATAATAACAAAAAGAAGTAATAAAACCGACCAGGGTTTTTTTAGAATTAACTACGCTACATGCCCATTCTCGGCTGGGGAGCCAATCGAAACAAAACTTACAATTGTAACTAGAGGTTGCAAAACATAGCCAGTCATTTGAGGCAATTGTTTCAGCTTGGGTCTCGTAATCATGGCGTACACATGATTACCACATTAGACTATGTTCACCTTAATGTTGTCGGAAAAAGCTCTGCAGCGTAAATATACACCAACGAGAATGCAATCCCAGAGCTGAAGTTAGCAACGAACATGGACATGAAGATTTTTCCAGCTAAATAACCTAAAAGGAAATGCATAATTTAGCTCGGTATCTCTATCATAACAGGCAATCGTCATAATAATAATAACAATATTTAATATTTCTATAGGGCAAATTAACAAATATATATGATTAAATGCGCTTTACTTCTTAAATAAAGAAGCCTAAGGTAAGACACGACGGGCATTTGAGAACACGAGGAAAATGTAGAAAACACGAGCCGTGTACTACACGGCTTATATAGGTTTCTTCATTTGCCTTATGATACAGGCGAAAAACAATAAAACACGCTTTTTCTATGTTTTATACTCTGATAAAACGTGGGTTTTTGACCAATCAGAGCGCGCGCAGGGTCTTATCTATATTATAAAATAACATATGCAAATGCTTAAATAAAATAAAAATGTCACCTTATTGACAATGAAAATAGCCAATGAACGCGCGTTAATTTCTGCAGTTGTCGTAAAATAATTACTTGAGAACGCTATTCTCCAGCAACACCTAACAAACTGCGGTCAGCTTAATAATGACTACAAGGGATGAAACATAATATCATTACTTATTTACCTTTGTCATATTCAGCTTTATCTGACAAAAGAAGTGCGCCAATTACTCCCGTTGCAGCTAAAAGAAACGACACTAACAGAAGTTTTCTGCGGCTAAACCTATTTATTTCAAATGAAATAAAAAATATCAAAATACATACATCAGATCACTTATTATCAAGTAAATCAGTCAGTTTTTATATATCCTTAAACAAGATTGATTTGCAATGCAATTGCACGGTGGATTGTACTCCAATTGCGATCAAAGAAGAATCTTCTCCCTGATCTAGAGCTAACAAGAGGATTCATGACGTCATATCAGTTATCATGAACGAAGATCCTTTAATTTTGTGGGGCAACTTACAGGTCATTTACTGCAAGCTACTCAAGGCATTCTACTCAAAATTATTGCCCCTGAAATCCATCGCAAGAAAACAAGCAAACTTGACTAAAAATTATATTTTGAGGAATTTAGGACGTTTAGTCATTATTCTTTCTGGAAATGGTAGAATTTATCCGAATATGTGAAATAAAACTCCCTGTGCATATAGAAAGAGACAGCAAACCTGTTTTATTAGAACAAACAAAAAGGTGGCCTGAAATGTCAGTCATTTGGGCGGGAGATGACTGCCATTTCAGGCCAAGCAAAAGGCAACTTTAAAATTTCACAAGAAAAAAACAACACATTCACGATAAGGTCCCGACTAAATGTCACGTAACGTTTCACAAACTAAACGCACCATCATACAGCAGGTTTGTTTTATTTTTTCGTTGTTTTTTTCAAGATGTGTAAACACAGTATTTCCCGTTGCAGACAAATTTGTAGTTCCGCAGTTTTGAATCCCACTGGATTAGCTTGCGTTCATTTGCGGGAACATTCACGGTCCCCACTCTCCAGAAACTTGAGCAATTTGTGCACTAGACACATTATATTCATGTAATTTCTGGTATTTCATTGTTTATTTTACGCGTCTAACAAAATGCTCGACCTCCCCTGATCGTGCCATCAAACTAACTATAGAACCCAGTATTACAAACACGGACATGAGGCTTACTAGATTCCAGTCATTTTCAGTAGAACACGTAACAAGAGTTCAATTCTCGTTAACAAATATATCCATAAATATAACGTCCTTGTGCCACAAAAAAGTCATAGCACTTCATTCTACTCCCGGGGAAGGTATTCCCAGAAAATTTGGTTGGGGGTGTGCGGCCTGCTTCCCAAAACCCTTACCCTATTTATGACCAAAATCTGCGATGTTCCCTACCCTATTTATGACCTTACCAAATATTCGATAGCCTATTTATGACCTGACCATTAAATCAAAACCCTGTTTCAGACCTGCGTTATAATAAGTTCCCTAGTTCAAACCAATGTTAAATTACCGTAAACATAATTTGTGAAGAGCTTTTGTTGATTTTCTTTTCGATAATGATGAAAAAGTGGCCTCTTCTAAAAAACATGCCCATATCGAGGCTAGAGTGCAAAAATCATACCCTATTTATGACCAAAATGGCCAAAATAGGCTAAAATGGATACCCTACTTATGACCAAAACGGCTGAAAAACCATACCCTTTGGGGCCGCACATACCTATATAACTCATATAAGGGAGCAACCCCCTTCCCGGGATTCTACTCCACCAAATGCCTCATAGAATCCTTGCCTCTGCGGTTCTTTTCACGCCATCTTATGAGCGAAATGACGTGCACTATCAGACACACGATTTAAGTACAGCAAGTACTAGTTGATACAAGTACGACTTCTGTGCTGACATATACACTCACCACATATACCAGACAACAAGGGTCTTGTGAGCCATTTTGAGAGAGGAAAACAAATCACGGAAGTCTCCGAGCCTTTCTTCCATAGGCAAACACAGCATTTCATGAGGCATTTCATTATCATTCAGCCTGGCCACTTTACTTAGAATTTCCCTTGCCTCTGTCTGTCTACCTTTCTTTAGAAGCCAACGAACAGACTCTGGAATAAAACTGTGAAGCCATAAAAGAAAGTTAATACTCTAAGTCTGTTCTTAAATTTCCCGTGATTTATGGCCAAGCGTCTGTTTTTTTAATTGTAATGGTTAATAAGAAGCATGTCTATGTGGATCGAGTTGTTTCTCTGGGTT